TGTTTTGATGTCAGTACTATGGATCTTGATAAAGAACCAAAACCTGATCTTGAAGATTACCAATTAGACCGTTCACACATAAAGATGAGAGAACAGGCTAACACTCGGTCGGTAAAGCTAAGATATAATTCAAGTTCTAGCCTAATGTTATTTCAATTTGTAATTCAAATTTAGTTCTAATTGTTATAATGCTGAAATTTTTAGGATAAAGAATCAATACTAGAAGGTTAGAGATCTGGTGTGAGGAGCTATTATTTTGAATTTGAATGCAAAGAAGCCTGGGCGGAAAAACTGTGGAAGGGAGTAATAGTAAAACATGGACGAATGAAAGAAGATGCTTGATTTTGGTGTTTGTGCAGAAAATGAAGATATCAGAGAGTAGCCATTGATTCAATACTGATGTTGAAGGAATTCAGAACTCCATATCTGTTGAGACCGACTGATGTTGGTGTGGACTTCAACCAAGAAGTGATTGTGATTAGTCATGAAGGATTTGATTCCTATTTTGTTGAGTGGTTGAAGCTTGGAAACAACATAGAAGCTGAGAGTCAGCCTTTTTTTGTAAACACATTCAGCGACTATGAATTCAAGGAGTTCTGGATTGAATCGATGATGAGATAAGAATATTTTTTTATTTCAAAAAACTCCTTTCTTTATTTGAGTAGTATATTATAATAATACAATTTTTTATTATCAATTCCATAAACATTCTAGATACAATAGGGTATCTACACAAAATGGGTAGAGCCCATGGAAATTTTCTCCATGATGGCTCATATGTTACGCGGGGAGGAAAGATGCATCTCATCATTCCTTCTATGGATGAAATGATGGCAGAACAAAACGGAAGACCTTGGAAAATTCAAAAAGTTCATATTCCGTCATATTGGCCTAAACAATCATCCAACTAAGCCTCACGATTGGAATCCATTCTACAATTACAAGACCTCTAAGTATGTTCTTTGAATTTTATATCAACATTTCTTTTAATCTATTCAATTATTGCCCTTATATTCTTTTATTGCTCGAAGTTTTTCATTTATTTCTCTTAGTATATACTAGTTTTTTCAATCTTAGATTCATTTATTGCTTCAAGTTAGTAGTAATTGGTCATGTTAATTATACAGAGCATCCCGCTATTGAAACACCCTTTGTTATTGAATGAGAAAGTGAGATTTCAATACTTTGTGGCTCTCTGCCATCATTTGGGATATCATCACAAGGATTATACTTTTAACACTGACCAGAAAATCAATCAAAAGTTGATCAATCCATGGGGAAAGGCAAATTGGATAGATAAGGTCCGCGTGGCTCATAAAAAGCGACAAGTGTGTGTTCCTTATGAGGTTCTGCAGTATCAAGAAAATGAGGCTGGAAGTGTAAACCAATACAAATCTTGTATGTCTGATTTGGTTCGTTTTGTTGATAATACAACCCATCATGGTTGTGACCATGCAAAGAAATTTAAGGAACTGGTATGCCATTTTACTTTTGTGTTGTTTCTGTTTGCTTTAATTTTTTTTTCCTGACCTACTTTTAAACTTTACTTGTTTAATGAGCATTCTGTTTTTTCTCAATTAGATATATCTTGAAGAAGATGTAGCCATGGAGTTGGGGCACATATTTCCAGGCTTTCTCTCAGCCTTTCACAAGGTTTCGATCGAAGTGTTTGATTATCCGATAATGTAGCTTCTAATCTTAATATGCTCAGGTACAGTGATATAACATGACTTAGCCAAAATTCAGTTGTGTTTTCAGTGATTTTAGTAACACTATCTGTGGTAATTGATGTTTCCTTGGTATTTTGTCACCATGGCTTAGACTGTTTTGTTTTCTCTCATAGTTATTGAATGTGAACCAGAATTTAGTTGTGTTTCCTGTGATTTTAGTAACACTGTCAGTGGTAATTGATGTTTCCTTGGTATTTTTTCACCATGGTTTAGACTGTTTTGTTTTCTCTAATAGTTCTTGAATGTGAGCCAGAATTTAGTTATGTTTCCAGTGATTTTAGTAACACTGTCAGTGGCAATTGATGTTTCCTTGGTATTTTTTCACCATGGTTTAGACTGTTTTGTTTTCTCTAATTGTTCTTGAATGTGAGCCAGAATTTAGTTGTGTTTCCAGTGATTTTAGTAACACTGTCAGTGGCAATTGATGTTTCCTTGGTATTTTGTCACCATGGTTTAGACTGTTTTGTTTTCTCTAATAGTTCTTGAATGTGAGCCAGAATTTAGTCGTGTTTCCAGTGATTTTAGTAACACTATCAGTGGTAATTGATGTTTCCTTGGTATTTTGTCACCATGGTTTAGACTGTTTTGTTTTCTCTAATAGTTCTTGAATGTGAGACGGACTCTCATACTTGTTTGTCTTCTATGCGTGACATGTGCTTAAATTATCCTCAGAAGTGTGTACTGTTCTTGGGACGCGTTCCCTTTTTGAACGCCTTCTAATACAATTTTACTTATAAAAAAAAAAAAAAAATTATCCTCAGAAGTACACTACACTAGAATTTTACCATTGAACAAAAAAATTAATCATGTTATTTATATTTCAAAGTGTTAACATCTGGGTCAAATCGGCTAAACATTTGTGAATGATTGGGGTTAAAGGTACATAAATTGTTTTAATATTGTCTATTGGATATGTTTAAAGTTAATTGGGTGTGGATTGATAACATAAATTGTCAATGAACATGTATATTTGGTCAAATTAAATCTAAAAAATTGTTTAAAAAGAAATTGATATTTTACCATCCCAAAGTCTAGTTCTTGTTAAAAGATATTTATGTGTACAACAAAAAGAAATCTTCTTACCCTTTTTCTCTCTAGACAGGCGATTTGAACCTAGGGTTTGCATGCTGTTTTGGTGGCCGGGCCATCATCAACGGTGATGGAGGAGGGTCAACCCTCTTCCATTATCCCACCGGCGGGATCTCAGTGTTGTACTACAGCCCCACCCACCTATTGGTGCAGTTTCTTCAAAGAAACCGCATCAGATTTCCAAAACCTTAATTATCATAGCGAAGTACGTGGAAAGAAGATTTCGATTAAAGAAGAGGATGTTGCTGAGGAAATTAAATATTGGTCCTCATCAGTGGTTGGTTATGTGATGGGGAAGAAACCTTATTATCATAACTTCAAATCGTTTGTGGAAAAAAGATGGTCAAAAAATTCCACACTGATTTATTTGAAAGATGGCTTCTTTTTGGTTCGGTTCCAGGATAATGCAGATGTGAAGCCAGTGCTGTCTCGTGTTCATACATACAAGGGAAAGCCAATCATTCTCAAGCGCTGGAGCAAGAATGCTAATCTTGTTAAAGAAGTGTTGGAGTCGGTCCCAATTTGGTTGAAAATATACGATCTACCCATGCATTGTAGGAAAGCACTAAGTTGTTTCGATGATCTGTTGTAGTTTTGCAAAACCAATATATATGGATACTGAATCTAACAAGGATAAAGGTAGATATTTGTGAGTTATAGTTGAAGTGGATGTGAAAGAACACTTACCGGATTCAATGGAGGTGGACATCCATGGCGTTGATTGTGTTCTTACCTTTGAATATGACTGGAAGTCGCAGATTTGTACTCTTTGCAAAAGAGTTGATCATGTTTCAGATCGGTGCCCTCAAAAGGTTATACAGGCCAATCCGAAGAAGAAAAACTGGTTGATAAATGGGTGGTGAAGCAGAAAGGACAGTTGGTGGTCCAGAATGAGGATGAGGTGCCTGATGAAAGGGCCAGCAGAGAAGCAGAGGTTATTAGGAACAATACTACACTTGTTGATTCTATTCAAACCTCAAATGCTTTTCAAATCTTACAAAATGATGATTTCCAGAATGACATTGAGAGTAACTCAGGGAAAGATGTAGAAATCCTTCAATTAGAAGATGTTATTGGGATGAAAAGTATACAGGCAGAAAAAGAGAAGGGAATTCCATCTGAAGTCCTACAAAACGATTCAAGTGCAGAAATACAAGCTGCGCCTGCTGTGGTGGTTCAATCTTTGCAATGTTTTCCTGAAGTACCTGATGTACAAGGGGGTCATGTAGAACAAGTTGCTGTGATGGTTCAATCTCATGAAATTTTAGGAGCACAACCAGAAGCTCGTGGGGATTCACTTATAAATGATCTCAAAAAGGTAACTTTTTCTTCCAAAATCACTGATAGTAAGCAGAAGATTAATGTTAAGAAGAAGAATATAGGTAATTTGTCTGCACATAGAGTGACTAGGAGTCAAGGGAGTGTTTCCCCTTTTCCTCCCTCTCACTGATCACATCCTGGAATGTAAGGGGCTTGAATAAGCCTAGAAGACAAAGAGAGGTTCGATAGTGGATTAATTCCAAAGACTCTCATTTTGTCTGTTTACAAGAAACAAGGGTTAGATAGCCCAAGTTTGATGTCATTACAAGGAAAATAAATAGAAGGTGGAACTGGATTCATAACTATAACTCTCATGAGTTGGGTAGAATTTGGATTGGTTCGGATTTATTGTTGTTTTCAGTGACAGTTCTTAGTGAGATGGACCAATCTCTTTTGCTCAAGGTTCGTATTATTCAAACTGGTGAGGTGGTTTTTTGAGCACCTGTGTATGCCTCTAATACTATTGCAGGAAGAAGAAGGCTTTGGGATCAATTGATTACTCAGTCATCCATTGTTAATGGTCCATGGTTGGTTGTGGGGGATTGGAATGCGATCCGCTTTCACTCAGATAAACAAGGTGGTCGCAAGATTCCTCAGAAGCTACTTGATGAATTTAATGAATGTCTTCATTATGCTGGATTGTTAGAGCTATTTGTTTCTAATGGGGACTGGACATAGTGTAATAAACAAGGCAGGGACAGAAGGATTTTGGCTAAATTGGATAGAGTCTTCACAAATGATGCTTGGCTGAAGTTATTCACAGGTACTAAAGTTTCCTATTCTGCTTCGTCTTCCTCTAATCATTATGGAGTTGTTATAAATATTTTCAGATAGTTTGCAAGTGGTACAAAGCCCTTCAAAATGTTAAAAGTCTGGTGCTTACATGAGGGTATTACCGAAGTGATAAAGAAAGCTTGGGATGATCCTATAACTGGTACTCCTATTCATATCCTTCTCAAAAAACTTAGAAATGTCAAGGCTGCTATCAAAGTATGGAATAAAAATTCTTTTGGAGATATTGAAGAGAGGGTTTTAAGTACTAAAAAAGTCTTGGAAGATTTTCAATTATCACTTCTTGATAACCCTACAAATGATATGTTTGTAAAGGAATGTCAGGCTAAGGATAATTATCATGATGCTTTGTCCTCTCAAGAAATTTTATTTGCTCAAAAATCAAGAATTCATTGGCTAAAGGACACTGATAGATGTACATCCTTCTTCTACTCTAAGATGAAGCAACACCATCAATTTAATGCAATTACATCAGTGGAGTGTGAGAATGGACAGGTTACAACAGACATGGAAGAGATTAAAAAGGTCTTTGTTGATTTCTTTCAGTGCCTTTTTAAAGAGGCCTCAGTTGATAATACTTTTGTAATCAAACCTAGGCATATCTTATCTCCAGAAGACGAGTTGATCCTGGATTCTCCTATTATAAATGAAGAGATCAAGACAATTATGATGAATTTTAAACCAGATAAAGCTCCTGGCCAGACGGTTTGCTAGATTTTATCAAGCTTTATGGTCTATTATTCAAGCTGAAGTGTGTGCTGCAGTTCATCATTTCTTCACTACAGGTTCTCTTCCTTTTGGTGTGAGTAGTTCTTTTCTTAACCTTGATTCTTAAAGTAGGCAATGCAGTTAAGCCAAAGGAGTTCAGACCAATTGCTTTATGCAACCTTCTTTATAAAATCATCTCAAAAATCCTAGCTTCAAGGCTTTCTCTGGTTCTTCCTTGCTTAGTCAGATTGGAGCAGAGTGTATTCATTAAGGGTAGAAAAATTCAAGATGCAATCATTATGGGGCATGAAATGGTTAGTGATTTTAATTACAAATGTCCAATTATGGCCTTGAAATCTGATGTGTCTAAGGCATTTGATTCAGTTTCATGGAATTTTCTCCTGAAGATTTTAACAGCCTCTGGTTTTAGTTCAACTTGGGTGAATTGGATTTCAACAATCTTGAACTCTACAAGATATTCCATCTTAATCAATGGATCCCCCACAGGTTATATTTAACCCTCAAAGGGCCTAAGACAAGGCTGCCCTCTCTCTCCTCTTCTTTTTACTCTATTAATGGATCAACTCACCCAACTGATTAATACTGTAGTTTTATCTGGAAGACTTGCTCTATCAAAAACTGCCCTGAAAGCTCATTCTACCTGCTGTCATACATTCTTTGCAGATGACTTATTTATTACCTGTAAAGCATCAGTTTCTAATGCTCGAATTCTTCAAGACATATTCAAAGAATTTGGTGCTGCTTCAGGTCTTAAAATTAGTTACCAAAAAAGTAGTGTGATTTTTTCGAAGTGTGTTAGAAGGAAAAGTGCAATTCTTAATTTGCTTCAGTGCAAAGAGGAATCACTTCCTTTAAAATACTTGGGTATTCCTCTCTATTCTTCTGGATTGAGAAGGCCTCACTACTCTGCTCTCATTGATAAAATCACTAAGAAGCTCACTTATTGGAGTACAAGGTTGCTGTCAATTGCAGGAAAGATTGAACTGATAAAAATTGTTATCACTCCAATTTGTTTATACTGGTGTAGCGTCTTCCTTCTTCCAATTGCAGTCATAAACCAAATTCAGAAAATGTGTAGAAACTTTGTTTGGGGAAGTGAGGATAATTCGAAAAAATTACACCTTCTCAGCTGGGATATAATGTGTAGATTAAAAACTGAGGGAGGGTTGGGTATTAGAAAATTGACGGATCTGCAGGTTACTGCTCACTGTGTTTTGGCATGGGATTTTTTATTGAGTAAAGACAGGCTCTGGGTCTCTTGGTTTCAAAATAGATATACTTCAACATCCTCGTACTGGAATGCTGTTCCAAAGGTCTCTCATTCAAGCTTGTGGAAAAACTTGATTAGTGTTAGAGATATTATGTTGACTAATATCCAATTTTCTATTGGAACTGGGCAAACTTTCAAGGTCTTGACAGATCCTTGGTGTGAAGGGGAAACTTTGTTACAGAAATTTGGGCACAGAAGGGTTAGAAGGTTGGGATTTTCTTGGTCTTTTCTTTTGTCCAGTATTTTCATTAATGGAGGCTGGAATTTTGATCTTTTTCAAGATGAAATTTTCAGACCCATTAAAGATTTCTTGCACACACTGCCCGTTCACGCGAGACTAGATAAATTTCTTTGGGATGGAGGAGATTTTAATTTTAAAAGAGCTTGGAAGGGTTGTCGAACTACCTATCCAAAGGCTCTGTGGTCTTCTATTTATTGGGGGAAAGCTAGACCTCGATGGTCTATTCATGGAGTTTTTCTATTCCAAGATCGACTACCTACACTGTACAATCTGCAGAAGAGGAAAGTGCAACTGGCACCTAGATGTTTTAATTGCCTACAACAAATTGATACTACAAATCATGTTTTTGTTCAATGCCCTTTTGCTATGAATTTCTGGAGCTGGTTGAAGGATACACTTGGTTGGACTGTGGACTTTGGTTCTATCTTTACAGTTGAAGATTTGTTGCTTTGGTTCTCATCACAGACTAGTAAAATGATTAAAACATTATTAGTTGCTGGTTTTTGGAGCATTTGGCAAGAGAGAAATCGAAGGCTTCATGGTCATAGTCCTAGTTCCACCTCCGAAGTGGCTAGGATTATTTTGTTTGACGTTTTTGATGTTTATAATGTCTCACTTAGAGACATTATACAGCTATCATTCTTTGTTTTTCTATTAATTTACTGGGATTGGTTCTTCTGTAAGATGTTCTTTCCAGTAAAATTCTGAGGGTACGCCCTCTGTGCACCTGTACATTCCTTTTTTTTTTTTTATACAAAAACCAATTATGAAAAAAAAGAAAAAAAAGTGTACGTGTTATTTATTGTTGCCCATCTAATTGTTGCATGTGGATTCGAACGTCCTTTCAATTCAATAAGTTAACCTTGTGAAGTCGAAACCGAGAACTGGACCGAAGCCCCAAGAGTTGAGCAAATTATCCCTCCACTTTCAATGGACCTTGCCGCTCCTTGCCTATTTCATCCCAACATGTGGGTGGCATCATGAGAGCCTGTTTCGGAATTCAAATGGACTTTTCATTTTGACTTGCACGCTTCGGGAATTTTTTTTTTTTTTTTTTTTTTAGTTGGTACTCAAATACACATGTCTCTTCTAAGACTTAAACTCTTGACCTCTCTTTGGGAGGTAAGAGGCTGATATCGCTAGATTACTGGTAATTAGTCACACTTTAGAACTTGAATGGTAGGCAATCACTTGGATCAATCATTTTCATCGTGGGTTTGTTTTTTCATTGATTGATATATACATCATATGCAACACATAGGACTGCCCTTAGCTATCCTTTAATTAGTAATGTAATATTTTACATAGGGCCGTGAATATATACATATACACAGAGGTACCATCTACCTGGAGAAATCACCATTGAACTTAAATAAATTTCAGATCTCTATCATCTTCAAACTCTTCACACAATATAAATGAATCAAGATTAAGTTGAAATTTGTGAGATTGTGTTATAGGATTTGTGAGTAAATGAAAAGAGAAGAAAAGGGAGAGGAGGAAAAACATTGTTCTTGTAGGGTAGAATAAAACCTATGACAAATTCTACATCACTCTCTAAAATTAAAATGTAGGCTTCGTTTGGATAGGAAATGATTATAAGAGGAAAAAAAATAAAAGAAAAGAAAAAGAAAGGAAAGGATATCTATAATTTATATTCATGAATAGATAGGAGAGAAAAGAAAGAAATGGGTAATATTCTTATTTGGATAACAAAGAGAGGAGAAAAGAAAGGAAAATAATAATTAAAATTACTGTTTTACCCTTTTTTGTGGGGTTAGTAGGGCAAATCATTTCAGCCACCCCAATGCCTCCATCTATGTTCTCGTTACTCTCCCCACCTCTCTCTCTCTCTCTCTCTCTCTACAACTGCTGACTTGTATGTAATGGGTTTTGCTTTAATTTTTTTTTTTTTTTTTTTTTTTTTCTAAATTAACTACCCAAGGTCTGTAATTTATAAGCCCATGAATGATGGCCACCAGAAAAAATATATATATATATATTTAGGGCAAATCATTTCAGCCTTCCCAATGCCTCCATCTCTATTCTTGTTACTCACCCCCCCAATCATTTCAGCCTTCCCAATGCCTCCATCTCTATTCTTGTTACTCACCCCCCCCCCCCCAACTACTAACTTGTATGTAATGGGTTTTGTTTTAATTTTTTTTATTTTAATTTATAGCCACCAGAAAACATATATATATATATATATATATAATTAGGGCAAATCATTTCAGCCTCCCCAATCGCCACTATCTCTATTCTCGTTCTCAACTCTGAACCTACCCCCCCTCTCTCTCTCCCTCTCTCTGCAACTGCAGTATGTCTATCTGTCAAATTAGGGTATGTGTATATATATATATATATTTGTATGTGTGTGTATATATATATATATATAAAGCAAATAATTTCAGCCTCCCCAATCGCCTCTCGCCCCCCCTCTCTCTCTCTCTGTAACTGCAAACTACAATATACAAGGCTACTTCTGTCATTGTCTTCCTTTCCCTTCAAATCTCTCCAAACAGACAAGTCACTATCCTTCCCTTTCTTTTCAGCCTCCCCAATCGCCACTATCTCTATTCTCATTCTCAACTCTGAACCTACCCCCCTCTCTCTCTCCCTCTCTCCCTCTCTCTACAACTGCAAACAATAAAATCTACAAGAATCAGAAGTTCAAAACCCATATATTTCAGTATGTCTATCTGTCAAATTAGGGTATGTGTATATATATATATATATATATTTGTATGTGTGTGTATATATATATATATAAAGCAAATAATTTCAGCCTCCCCAATCGCCTCTCGCCCCCCCTCTCTCTCTCTCTCTCTCTGTAACTGCAAACTACAATATACAAGGCTACTTCTGTCATTGTCTTCCTTTCCCTTCAAATCTCTCCAAACAGACAAGTCACTATCCTTTCCTTTCTTTTCTTTCCAAATCCCTCTGAATCCCTCAATCCAAACGGAGCCGTAGGGCTTGAAACACAGTAGTTGAAATGCACTACAACCTAAAGGCTTCGTAAATATACCAGAGGCCATGTAATGGTTATGGTCTAGCTAAACAAGGCTTACGACCTCACTTTTTGTATATTGTACTTATTTTACATACTAAATAAAGAAACAAATAAAAGCAAGAGATATGAGAATATATATATTGATCCATTCATACCATGAAGGCAATGACAATGACCCAGATCCTTATGTAAGGTAAGGTAACATGAATAGGAAGGAAAATAAATACAAATAAAAATAATAATAAAATAATAGCAAATATATGCATATAAAAAAGGAAAACTAGTATTCAGTTTCCTGGCCCATTTATTGACTACATGAATGGTGGCGCAGTTTGGTAAAAATAGTGATGGCATCGGTTAACTAAGGCAATGAAATAAAAAATTTATGGCATCGGTTAACTAAGGCAATAAAATAAAATATTTATTATATGAAAAAGTAACTAGAATCTTATTTCTTG